TTCCCCTCTGCAATGACTTGATGTTACTAATTAGGATAGGAAAAAGCATTGTAGGTGCAGATCCAGACATTTATAGCAGATATTAATGATCTATTAAAGAAATACACAAAGTTACATATGTATATGAAGGTAAACCTTATTTTATGCATATTAGATAAGCACAAATTAATTTTAGTGCACAAATATCTAAAAGATCTATTGCCAATGGTCATACTGTTTGGTTTCATAGGATTCAGAGCTTTAAGGAATCTAACAGATTTTCTGGTAGAACTGCATCATTTTACATATGAAGAAGATTTATGGGCAGCAATGAGCAGGCCCAGAATTCTAACCCGAGTCTCCCATCTCCAAATTCGACACTCTTTCCACCACACGACAGTTCTGAAGTAAAAATTGCCCTCTTAATCTAGGCTAATTTTGATTTCTTTGCCTTTTTCATTAGGCCTACTTTCTACCATCCTAATTTTTCCTTCTATACTCTAATACCAGTAAGAGGTGAAGCCCAGCTCAGTTTAGCAGAAGAGACAAAAAAAGGGGTTTGAATCTTATTGAGACAGCAGACCTTTATTTTACATGGCAAGGAACGTTGTTAAATTTCCACTGCAGGTTTACTGTACTAAAGACTTCTGGCATGAGGCTACTACGAGAAATTGCTGAATACTATGTAGGGAAAACCTATTGCTCAAACCTGGTACCTTTGAAAGAATGCTTTTTAAAGCCTTCAACATTCATCCAGCGGGATGAATCTTCTCTCATTTTGCATCTCACTGAATATTGTAATATCATACAATATTTGACTTTCAGTATAATTCCCATTGGGCAGCTAGAGTGCTGGGCCTGGAGTCAGGAAATGCAAAGCTGGCCTCAGACACTTACTAGCTGCGTGACCCTGGGCAAGTCACTTAACTCCTTTTGCCTCAGTTTCCTCATCTGTAAAATGAGCTGGAGAAGGAAATGGTAAATCACTCCAGTGTCTTTGCCAAGAAAACCCCAAATGGGGTGAGGAAGAGTCGGACACTGGTGAAACGACACAACGACATCATAATTCTTATTACAATATTTGACCTATTGAATCCTACTGTTGATGCTGAATCAGAAAATTAATATTTTATGTTTAAAAGCTATTATAAAATATTTGCTTCATAGGTAAGCGGGGCCAAAAATAAATTGTGTGTTATTTGATTCAACTCAAGTTAAAATAAGGAGATTCAATGATGAGTCCTCTTAAATCTCTTTCAGTTTAAGACTCTGTTCTTTTATCCTACGTACAAAAATTAATTCTATATATAACCTTTCAGGTTATATATTTATCAGCTCATAGAAACTAGAATTTGAAAGAGACCTTAGAGAGCATCTAGTCCAGCCAATTTTCTTCATAAATAAGGAAAATGAAGCTGGGAGAAATGAAATGACTTGTCAAAGGTCACATGATTGGTAATTAATAGAGCCAGGATTTGAACCTTTCACTCCAAATCCAGCACTCTTTTCACTTCTCCAGGAGATTCAGATTCTTTGGCATCATGATTAACCTGAAGTAGAATAAAAAGGAGATGTATCATGGTGTAGTTGCTAGGAAGCTGACCTCCAAGTTAGGAAGACCTGGGTTCAAGTACTGCCCCTGACATATATTGGTTGTGTGGCTCTAGGTAAGCTACTTCACCTTTTCAGTCTACCAGACAACTCTCTAAGATTATAATTTGCCAGGCAGGTTCCTATCTTTACTGGTGGAGTTTACTACTGGGAGCATCTTTATACAATGAAATCACAGGTATCCATACTTCCTACCTGAATGCATAGTTAGATATACAGCTTCAAATACACGCCAAAAGTAAATGCATTTAGGAGAAGGGACCAAGGGTAATTGACTAGTTGGGGGAGATATAGTAGGAAAACCTACTATGTGAAGATGATTCTGTGTCCTTGGAGGTTGAACAGATGGAGTACAAGCTCCTGTTGAGATGAACAGCCTTCATAGGTGAGTTTGGAAACAATTTCTGTTTCTGTTGGAAGAGGGCTTGCCTAGCTAAGTTCAGAGAGATTCTTCACCTAAAGATTGGCCCTGGGGTGATACCTTTTCTTAAGAGAGCAACTCATTAAGACTGTCTGTGAAGGCAGAGTGTGGTTGTAAATTATGTTGGTAGGGGAACTGCCAGTGCTGATCACACTTCTGGTTTCTTGAAATATTCAAGTAAGGGAGAATATATCTGTGGGAGGACTGTGTCCAGATGAGTTTGCAAAAAGCACTCAGAAAATGTCTGATCTTTCCAGAAAGCTTCACAGAGAATGTGAGGTTTCAGAAGCTGTTTAAATATTAGGAAAGGTCATTGCTAATAGGGCTAGTGAAAGGAAGAAAGGCAATTATTGGTTTAAAGAGATTATTTTGGGAAGAACTCAACAAACATTCGTTAGGTGCCTATTATAGGTAAGATACTGTGCTTAGCACTGAGGAGCCAAAATTCAGAACAAAGTAGTCCCTGCCCCCCAAGAAGCTTGTATTCTACTGAGAAGGCTATGAGATGAAAGTATGACTACCATACAAAAGGATAATTTTAAGAGATGTGCCTAAAAATAGTGAAGAGATCTAGGTAGGCTGGGATGAATAAGACAAGGGAAGGGAAGGGATAATCCAAGATACCATGATGTATGAGTTTTGAAGTGCAGGTGAAGACATACGCATCTCACCTGTTTTAAATGGGAGGCCATCATTGAACTTTAAAGAGTCAAGGATAGGGCCAGAGAAAACTCTAGGCACATAGAGGAAAAATAAACTAATGGTCAAAATCTAAAAGATAAAGAATGTAGTGGAGACAAAGCTGCACCATTTCAGGTGAAAGACTCAAGAGTCTGTATCAGAATGAAGATGGTATGGATTGGCAGTAAGGAAAACTTGCATAAGAAGTGACAAAAATTGGCAGACGATTGGATGTTCATAATGATGGCAAACCTAGTGGGACAACATGGTCCACAGGATCAATCATTTGCTTTGTAGGAAGGAAGACCTGTGTTTGAACTCCACCTTCGACACTTTGCAGCTGTGTGACCCTGGGCAAGTCATTTAATTCTGTTGCCTCAGTTTCCGCATCTGTAAAACGAGCTAGAGAAGGAAATGACAAACCGTTCCAGTATCTTTGCCAAGAAAACCTCAAATGGGGTCATCAAGAGTCAGACAGGATGTGACTTAAATTACTCAACTACGTACAACGTTTAAAAAACTTACAATGTTATGTAAATGCTGATTGCACACGTGCAAACTATATCAGATTACTTTTAGTCTCTGGGAAGGGAGAAGGGAGAGATAGAATTTGAAATCATAAACTTTAAAAAATGCTTTAAAAATGTTTTAACATGTAATTGGGGAAAAATAAAATATTACATAAAATGTTATATAAATGCAGGTTATTATTATAAATCAGAGTTTATGAAAGTGCCTTTGCTTGACTTGTTGGAGAGAGATGACATTTCCTGCCATGCTGCAAGTTAAACATAGGGAAAAGACTTGATGAAATGTTTCTGGATTTGTACGTATTTTTTAGACTTTTGTACTTTTTATTTACAAAAAGCCGCTTAGTAAATCCTCTACTACTATTACTTGCTTATTTGGCAAGAGGGGCAGTATGATGTAATAGATAGAAAGCTGGCCTGGAAATCTGGAAGACCTGGTTTAAACATATCTCTGACACATCCAGGCTCCATGGCTCTGGGAAAGTGACATAATCTCTCAGTGAGTGTACTATATACAACTCTCAAAGACTATAAGGTGCTAACCTGTTCTTAAAGAGGGCATTTCCCCACAGGAGCCCCCTAATACCAATGAAATTACAGGACTAGGCTCACTTATTCTATAAGGGGAAGCCATCATTCTCAGAAATTTAGTTTTTGGACACCCAGCTAAGACAGGGAACTCACCCATCATGCAGCTGGGAGGCAGTTTCAAAGTTAACATCAGGCTGAGTGTACACATTTATGAGAAATGTTAAGACACACACACACACACACACACACACACACACACACACACAGAAAAACCCCCAAACAAACCCTAGTTCACAAGTTGCATCTTCCACTGGACCTCTTTGTGTGCTGAAATGGAGTGATTGCCATATGTTTAACTCCCCAGTGAGAATATAATATTTTTTTTCTTACACAAACGTAATAAATAACACTTGCTAAGACTGATGCACAGCTGCCCTCTGGTGAATATAAACTGTATTGACATTTGAAAGTTTCTAGAAGGATAAAGTTGAAATCCATCTCAAATCTACCTATAGTTATACAAGTAGGTAACCTAAAATTGGGACAGCCAGGTGGCTCAGTGGATAGAGTACTGTACTCGGAATCAGAAAGACTTATTTTTCTAAGTTCAAATCCAGCCTCAGATACTTACTAGCTGCTTGGCCCTAGGCAAATCACTTAACCCTGTTTGCCTCAGTTTCCTCATCTGTAAAATGAGCTGGAGAAGGAAATGGAAAACCACTCTAGTATTTTTGCCAAGAAAACCTCAGATGGGGTCATGAAGAGTCAGACATGATTGAAATGATTGAACAGCAACAATCTAAAATTGCTGACCTTGACATGTATGTCTCAGCACTAAATATTTGTCAGTGTCACTAAGTTTGAAGAGAAACATCTCAAGTCAGCAGAGTACTTGAAACTGTGGAACTGAGGCCAAAGAGCACCGGACTTGGAGTCGGAGGATCTGGGTTATTAGAACCTCAGGTTTGCCCCTGATGACCTTTGTGACAATAATGAATTTAGATTAGAAGGACTCTGAGGGCTCTTCCAGCTGTATCTAAATCTATAAGCCACAGCACTATGATTGAAATGAAATTTACTGAATCTTAAACTGAAATTAAACTTATTAAACTGAAATCTCTTGATGACAATTTAGAAAAGGCCTGGAAGTACTAATATTTAAAATCTGGTTGAGAAACACTGGTAGATTTCAAATCGTGCTTCTCCCCCCACCTCCCTTAGCATTCATATTACAAATGACAACTTACCTCCAATGAAGTCCTATTCCGATGTCTTATGGTGGTGTGGCTGTTACCCTGGGTTCTTGATATGTATACCAGCAGAAAGTAAGCTCTGGCAGGTTCTGTCAAGCGAGAGAATCTTTGGATAAATTCCCAGAAATGGACTATGTCTGCTGTCCTAGGATCAGCCTAGCTAAGAGTGGAGACATTCAACACCAGGGGGATGGTATCATAGAAACACTCTTGACATGAATGCATTTTGGACCCAGACCTGAAAATTGACTAATAGATGATGAATTCTTTGACTGTGGCAACCCACAACACCAAAAAAATTGAAAATTTCCCATAGTCCCTTGTGGTCCTCTTCACCTTCTGCAGTGGTGATAGAAGAATTTTGAGGAAGAAGAAAGGGCATTATGAATCACAGAGGTTTTAAGCCAGCCATACACGTCAGCTTGGTAATTAGCATTTTAAATACAAGGTATTTGTCCAAGGAATGGACATCAATTTTGATATTCTTTCATAAATTAAATTAAAAGGGACAAAAAAGTTGCCCCTAAATGGAAAGATGACTCAGCGGTTCTCCTTGGGGATGTATATAAAGAAATATGTAGAGTTGGTTTTATCATGCCTCCAAAGACAGCAAGAAAAATAATTTCATGGGACATTTGTTGATATTGACTGGTAGTACTTATAATGAGCACTAGGAGAAAAGATAACCACGAAGATAAATTGTAGTTCATGAACCAATATCCACTGAAGAGGATAAAGAAGTAGAGATATCCTATGAAGAACTAGATAAAACCTTCAAATTAAATGGACATCTAGTTTAATACTTGGTGATTTCAAAGCAAAGGGGGAGGGGTATAAAGGAGAATGACAAAATATATTTTGAAAAATACAGTTCAGAATCAAGAAACAAAAAAGGACAAAAGATCATAGGCTACACAGAAGCCTCACACATATTTCATCAATCAACCAACAATCAGTAAGTATTTATTAAGTCCTCACTATATGCCTGAGTTCAAATCCGGCCTCAGACACTTACTGGCTGTGTGATCCTGAGCAAGTCACTTGACTCTGTTTGCCTTAGTTTCCTCATCTATAAAATAAGCTGGAGGAGTATCTTTGCCAAGGAAACCTCAAATAGGGTAAGGAAGAGTTGGACACAACTGAAAAATGATTAAAAATGATGAAAACATATGCAATCACAACATATGCCAAACATAAGCCAAAGACTGTGCTATGCTCTGGGGATACAAAGAAAAAGCAAAAACGGTGCCTGACCTCAAGAAGCTTGCATTCAAATGAGAGAGACACCTGTAATAAGCCATAGAATGAAAAATTTATACAGAGTAAATGGGAGTTAGCTTAGCAGGAGAAGGCACTAGTAGCTGAGGGAATTGGTAAAGGCCTCCTGGAGGAAGTGACATAAAATGCTTTAAAGGAAGCCAGGAGTTCTAAGACTCAACAGTTAGGAGGGAAAGTAAATAGATTTTTCCTTAAGAGAGGACAAGCATGTGTGAAGTGCAGCCATTTCTATGACTCCTCTCTTTTTGAAGTCCCATAATAGCTTCACATTGTACTAAGGTTAAGGTTTACTATATGTTTTAAGGTATGCTTCAAAGTCCATGCATTGTAGTACCTTCGGTTCTGTCTCTCTTTCCTTGTCTTCTGCATCCCAGTCTACCTTAATTTGCCAGAACTCCCAGACACCATGAAAACCTATGGAAAAGAGTCAGAATAAAATCAATCATCATCATCATCATCATCATCAGTATTTCTATGGAGGGCTTTATGGTTAGTAAAGTGCTTTATGTATGTTATCTCATTTTATCATAAGGTTCTGATCATGGTGACCACTGAATAATAGCACAAGAAATGAAATTGATGTCTTAACAGACAGGAAATGGCTGGCTACCAACGTAGGAGTCATTTCTGAACCAGCCATCTACATATAGTGAGACTACGTATTAGAACAAAGATAAAAATCAGCACCAAATTAGAAGAATAAAGACAAAATGTCATATGAAAATAAAATAACCCTAATTTAGCCTATTTAATTAAGTTATTGAAACACATCATATACAATTACGGGAATAATGTACACATGAATTTAGAGCATCATTGATGAGACTATTAGAAAGAAGTATTAGGATTTTGCAAGTGATATTCTACAATGTACCATATATTTACAATTTTAAAGTTGATTAAAAGATGTAGAGAAAGAAAGATGTTACTGTACTTTGTTGTCATAAAAAAGTTTTACTTGGTACAAAGCATCACCTTAATGTTTTTCTCCACATGAGGTGTCTCTCACGCTTTTGTCAAAATCTTAGATTCCTTGAAAGATAAACCAGTATATCTATACTATTTCATGTGATGGTCTCATTAGCTCCCATGGATTCAATTATCATCTCGGTGTCAATGAGTCTCAAATCTACTTATCCAGCCCTAATGTCTCTCCTAACTTGCAGTCTCCCACCTCCAAGTGTCTATTCTACATATGAAACTAGATATCCTATGGACATATAAACATGATCAAAACTGAATTTATCTTCACTCCCAAATCCTTCCTTATTTCTAACTTCTCTGTTACTGTTGAGGAGCCACCATCTTTCCCAGTGACCCAGGTATACAATATAGGTGACACTGTCAATTCCTCACTCTCTGTCACCCCCCATATCCAATCAGTTGCCAAGGCTTGTCAATTTTTCCTTCTTAACATATGTCATATATGCCCCTTTCTCTCCTCTGACACTGCCACCACCCTGGAGTAGCTTTTTGGGGGTGACAGAGAGTGAGGAGTTGACAAGCTACCCCTCATCACCTCACCCCCGGACTATTGCAATAGCTTATTGGTTGGTCCCCTGACATCTCCCCATTCCAGTCTATCCTCCACTTACCTGTCCATGTGATCTTCCTAAAGCAAAGGTCTGATCATGCCATAAAAATCCTCCACTCAATAAAGTGCAGTGACTCCTCTTTGCCTCCAGGATTAAATATAAAATCTTATTTGGTGTTCAAAGTCTTTCATAATCTTTTGCCCCTTTCTCCCCCAGCACCTTTCCAGACTTCCTACACCTTACCTTTCTCCTCTCCTCCATACGCTGTGATCCAGTGGTACTGGCCTCCTTGCTGTTCCTCCCACAAGGCACTCCATCTCTCAACTCCCATCATTTACATTGATTATCTTCTGTGCCTGGAATTCTCTTCCTCATCATCTCCACTTCCTGGCTTTCTTCAAGTTCTAGCTAAAACTTTATCTTCTACAAGGAATCTTTCTTGATTCTCCTTAATTCTCGTGACTTCTCTTTGTTGATTATAATTTATCCTATATCTCTATCTGCCTGTCTATCTATCTAAGGTCCATCCTTTAATCCAATTTTAGTACCAATATTCTTCCAGCTTTATGTGTCATAAAATGCTGAACACTTTGAAAAAATTGAAATTGGGGATTATTGAAAAAGCAACAAAGAGGTGCCTGATGGATATGGTGTGAGCTACCTGTACTACATTATCAATGAGGAATTATATAGGAGAAGTTTCATATGCACATAAATATAGATGTCTATATTTATTTCTATCTAGAGACAGATAAGGAGAATCATCAAAGAAATGTGTAAGAAATAAAAAAGTTGGGCTGCTCATATATGAGCATGAGAGATAAACCCTTGTGTTTCAGTGGTGTCCTAGCAATGTAAAGAGAAAGTGACGGCCCTTGGCACACTAGGTGGCAAGCTTATAGGGACAAGATTTAATTTTCTCAGTGTAGAACTTTAGGCTTTAGAGTAATGAAATTATTTGTCCAAGGATTTAAACTCAGGTTTTCTGTTTTAAGACCCAGTTTTCAATTCAACAGGACAGAAAGTATGGATTAGGTGGGGGACCCCGGAAAGGGGCAATCAACTAGTAGCCCCTGTACAAAGACCCCTCTTCCTCAAGCCCCAACTTTACCCAGTACCACTGCTGCAAGTCTATCTTAGCCTATGTTGTGTGGAGCATCATATTAGCCAAGGCAGGAAAGAGATAATATCTTTCAAGGCCATTAGGAAAGAGTTGCTATGTTTTGGGGCCCCATATGATTGTCTTGATCATTTATACTTCAAGTTGGGAGGCAAAGGGGATAAGGGAAGGAAAAAAGATTTGAATTTTCCCACAGAAGCTCAAAATACTTTTTACAGGGGTTATCTATTAATCTAGAATGGATTATCATCAATTTTGACATTTTTGAGAAGTAGCCACTAGAGAACAGATACATTCACCTGTAATAGGCAGGAAAAGAAAGGAGATACTGAACGACACAGAGCTTTGGCCAGGTTTATAAAGCAAATTCAGCAGGTGGTCGTCAAAATCAGTTCTCTCAATTCCTTTTGAGATTCCCAGGTGCTTCCTTCGTTTTTTGATCCCATAGTCCTGAGTGGGATTGAGACCACCTACCCAAATAAAAATTCAGAGGTTTCTCCAGGTAGAAAACAGAAGTTCTATTCTAGCAAGTCTCGCTCGAGAATTGGGCATCACCCACCCAGGGCGGACTGGAGTAGGGAGGCAAGATACAACAGCAAGCAACCAGTTATATACCCTTAGACAAACCACTTCAAGAAACCCCCTCCCTACTTGTTTACCCAATCTCTTTATCCTCATTGGTTGAGGCAAGAGACCCTACAATCTATATTTAGAACCCAAGAAATACATTTTACCCAAACCAAGCTTGGAAGCTAGAAGATTGCCTTATTTGGTAAGGATAAGGCTGGGGTGATGGTTACAAAACAAGGGAGGGGGTGGGCAGCTGGTGTATGACCCTATTATATGATTTACAGGAAAACGAAACTTAGGCCCAGCTAACGCTAAAGCCTTAACTAAATTTTTGGAGCATAGCTTCCGTTTCATATGAGAAACTTTCACTTGTCCCACAACAGTCCCAAATCACCACTGGCCTAATCCTGAATTGCACCAGAACGGCTGCTAGTGGTGGTGGGACTTGAGGGTGCAATTCCAAGCAGTTATGTGGATTAACTTGAACACTTGCACCTGCTGGGATGGAGGCAGGCTTTTGGCTGCTTGAATCGCCAGGACTAGAGGTTTAAGCCTGAGTGGCCTCCCTGGATTTGGGCCAATCCGTTAGGACCCCAGGGGTAGGCTAGCTTCTCTGAGCGTTCTTCCTGTTAGAAGATTCTGCCCAACCTCCCAGAATTCTGTAGCTTCAAAATCCTGTAGCTCCATCTAGGTGAATTCCACATCGCAGTTCCTAGCGCTCCTGCCCCAGACGCACTGTGCTAAAGCTTTGCAAATATTCTCATTTGGTTGATGAGTTAGTCATTATGCAGAACTAGAGGTTTATATTTGGCTTTATATTTGTCTATTGAGTGAGGGCTTTAGTCAGCAAAAGTGGGGAAGGGAGAAAGAATATGCAAACTGAGGATATTTTCATTTCCCTCCATGCCAGCCCAGGAATATATTTTGCTGGAGTTTGCTGGAGTTGTAGATTTGAGATCCTCTCTGAGGCTAACTCTAGCTTTAAGGAATCATTTCCCTAATATGCATTTATTTATCTAAACATTGCTGTTTTCTTCCTACTCCCAAACCCCAGGCCAGTTTCAGATAACTTTTTTCCCCCTTACCTGAGGATTTAAAAAAAATTATTGAAAAATATTGTTCATCATGTAGATAGATAAAAATCTGGGCCCAAAAATTTAATTGGAGGAAGAAAGTGAGTTAGAGTATGTTTTGGAAACTGTACTTTAGTTGCAAGGATCCCAAATTGTTTCCTGTTGCCAAAATCCATCTAAAATGCTAATATTTTGGGGCAGCTAGATGGTGCAGTGGCTAGAGCACCGGCCCTGGATTCAGGAGGACCTGAGTTCAAATCCGACCTCAGACACATAATACTTACCAGGTGGGTGACCCTGGGTAACTGCATTGCCTAAACAAAAAAACCCAACCAACCAAACAAAAAAAACTAATGTTTTCCCAGTGCTACTATCTGCCTGTGAATCATGGAACACCATGATCTTCAAAGAACCAAAATTACGAGTGACTCATGATGAAATGGAAATCATGGTGGTTCAAAGCAGACTGCAGCACCTTACTAACAGTGACTGATACATAAGAAGTGATGAAAAAGGTATCACTGGCAATATGTGTGACCAGAAAAGGAGGTGGGCTGGTCATTTGTCAAGTAAGGGGAAACAGACGGACAATTGTTGTGTTGAATTTCTATCCATAATATATTGAAAGACCTGCAGGAAGACCTCTGGTCCTGTAAAAGGATGATATCATCAAAGAGATGTTGGGTGCAACTTCTGTGGAGGATTTATGGAAATCTCAGAAGATGGGAGGGTTGAATAGGTTGCAATTCATAGCAGTGATGGGAATACCCGCCCTATATCCATAATATCATGGCTCCACTGAATCACAGAAGTATATAAATTGTGTGATTAAATAGACCCATGTTATGTAGTACCAACAATATTAACTAAAAATGTATAGGAAAATTTTGCTATTAGAACTGAGTAATAAAAATAATAATAATAACTAGCATTTTAAAACACCTTAAGGTTTGCAATGCACTATACATATGTTATCTCATTGGATTCTCACAGCAGCCAAGTGAGATGGGTGCTATTATTATCCTCATTTTATAGATGAAGAAACTGAGGCTGAGAGAAGTTAAGAAACTTGACCATTATTGTTATTATTATGGGAACTGGGTAAGTGGTCAGAGA